AAGATTCTCAACCAAAAAGTCCTCAAATTAATTTTTTGTGTGTAAATGTGAAAATCTGCAACAGCGGTTTACACATTTGATTTACACACTTAGGTTTGTGAAATTTTCGAATTGTGAATATTCCGAAAAACGGCTTCTTTATTTGAAAACGGCTTTAGTGTAAAGGTATACAAGTAGTCATATTACCGGTTCTGCTGCCTGCTCTTGGGGGCTCTGAAATGAAGATCGTCTGGACCCCGGCAAAGATCTAGAAAAATCTTTTCCGAGCTGGTAAACTTCTGCTTCTAGTTGTTCGGATTGAGAGGAACCTCTGCGGGAACCCCAGGCATGATCCGGATGAAGTAAGCTCGTGCATTCACCTACAAATAATCCGTGATCTTATGAGAAAACACACGCGACTAGTGTACTACTCATTACTTCCTCTGCTTTTCTAAAACTGTGAAAAATTGATTAAGTGTGCAAAGAGCCGCCTAGGTATTCGCAAATCGCGTTTTTCGACGAATTATGACGAGAATTGACTCATCTGATATATGTAATTTATTCCTCCACTCGTTACATTTTTATTCTTTAGGGTAATCTACTTGGTTTGCATCCTTCATCCTCCTAAAGGTTTGCAATCGTCACGACCATTCTACCTTCAGATCGATACCATTCCGCAAAGATTCTCAGCCATGAGTTTTCTCCTCATCCTATGGATCTTTATTCTTGGATTCCTCCTGTATAATTACTTGTAGTGTTTGGTATTTAGTTCCTCTCATTTTATGTCCCATATTTAAGTTTGCTTTCTTTGATTGCCATTTTTATAATTCGCTTTTTCTTATGCATAAGTAAATTTTCAACTTTTTCCGGTATATTCAAAGCTTAAATGCCTCTAGTCTTTTCTTTTCAACACTTGTATTCTTTCGATGCTATGAAATTTTCTGAATATTTTACTATTGGCGTTCGTGGTAGCCTTTTATTAATGACCGTTTGGCGGTCTTCCTTTTTTCAGCTAAAAAGACTGTCTCGTCATCGCATGATGCTTTGTGGTCATGGTAGAGGTTGTGTATTATTCCCATGGTGTTGAGGTCTATCTTTTTTTAATAAAATTTGTATGACTTGGTTTATCAAATGCCTTATATCCAAGTGATATCATGCTGATTGCAAACAGTGCCTCTTTTCTCCCTTAGATTTTACCGAATCTGAACTGTGTGTCGCTCAGATCTGCATGTTTTTTCTTGTATTTTCTATTATCGGTTTCCTCAAAGAGGATTTTCGTCCTTTTTGGGAGCCGAAATACCTATCTATATTCTCCAGATTAATTTGTCAGAAATATAAGAAATATAATCATGTTTGAAGAGTTGTGCAATGAAGTTCTTACGTGTTTCCATTCTTTGTTCAATTTCTGGTACTATTTTCCCGTTGTAATCGTCCAATATATTTTGCGATTTGAGTTTGCAGTTGGTGGCTTCTTTAACTTTTTATATAAATGTTGAAACTGTCGTGTTTTGCTTGCAGTTCCCCAATTTTGTATCTAGTAGTCTTCCTTTGCTTTGCCGATATTTGCACCGAGTACTCTTCCTGTTTCATTCTTTTTTATGTATAAGGTTAAGAATTTCATTGATCATTCATTCTTTAACTTAATCGTTCCTTAGTATAGTTACTATGATTCCAGTAAAGCCGATTTAATTTTTGTCCCACTTTTCGTTTATAATTCTGCATTTTTGATGGTCTTTACTTTCAGAAACTGTTTAGTTCTCGTTTATTTTTATTTGAACTTCATTGTGTTCCTTAGATGCACTGTATAAAGCCGATTTGTTTGGTCATTTTAAACTGTGATTATTGTCACAGTCACTCCAGATTGAAAAACAGCCACCAATTCACAATCTAATTCACGCCATAGAGAACTAAAGTTTTTGCTTGCGACAAACTTGGGACTTATTTGTGTATGTTGTTGTATGTGTATTTACCAATGGAATCAACATCATCGGATACGCTTCTTTGGTCTCCAAATGTATTCCTCTTGCCGGGCCCTGCAATTGATCCTCTTGGCGAAGTATGCGGGGATTTGGTTCTTAATTGTCGGGGATCCTCTAGTCTGCACCACACAGCTCTATCATCTAAAAATGCCTAAAAAAATTAAAAGTATTTTAATTAATTCATCGATCATCTATTTTCCGGCATATCAGTTTAAGAATCGTTTGGGTAGTATTGGACGTTATCTTTAATTATAAAGATTAATTACCTTTTGTAAGTCAACAGAACATTCTCCCAGAAAATCATGTTCGTTGTGCGGAATCAGATCCCACAAAGTAATTTCTAGAACTCGTTCCATAAGCTCATCTCCAGGTACGTTCATGAAGCTGAGATTAGCATTCCATATTGGATTTTGACTTGCAGGGGCCACTTCTGTCTGCTGACAATGCTCTTCTGATCTAGAAATTTAAATAGCTGTTTTGAATTCTCAACTAGCGTCTTTTATTAGGCTTGAATCATCAACTATGATGCTCAGTGCATGCCGGAAAATGGTTTCATCAGAGGTGACGTCGTAAAAATTGAAATTATTCTTGTTTTTTTCGTTTTGCATTTGAAGTGTCCAGGGAAGAAGCGTGTAAAGCTATTTTGGCCAAACTGATTGGCCAAATTGAGTGAATCTAGCCGATCGACGGGTTTTGACCGATTTTATTTTCTTCATTAATACTCGGAATAAACACTATGTCAGCAGATTATGCGATATTAAGTTTTTATAAGTGCATACAGGAAAAAACCGTGCCAAGTCATCACCATAGTAGGTAAAAACGTGCAAACTCCCAAACAATCACTGAAATAATGACGCAAATCCTTTAGTTTTGTTACGGTATCAAATCCTTAAAAACTTCAATTCTCTGGGTTCCTGGAACATACAAAGTGCATATCTTTCTGGACTAACTTCTCGGAGCCTCTTTATACAAAGACAAAATCGTCGCCCTGAAGAAAAGATTAGTAGTTTCCGACAGGCTTCTTCCATTTATGAAATAACAGTTCTAGCATGTTTAAAAATTTTTTTCGCCATTCACGGGATAACCAGAAGGAGTATTCAGGCAAGTCAGCATCCCTTTTAAGTGACGGAACAAACTAATCATCCTAAACTAATCAAAAAGTGTGTTATCTCTTATATAAAGTTGATCATCAAAGGCAGAAACAGCCTTTGATGAACAGGAAAACAGAAAATGGATATTTATCTGAAACTTTAGATGTTGAAAAATTTATACAACGTACAAATAAATGTATCCAGCTAAACCTGCATCCGCGTCAGATTTTCTGTACCGCATTTAATATCAGTTTTGGTGATCATCATTTTGGTACTCAAAACTTGCACAAAATGCAAATAAAGATGAAATAACTCGTGAAATACAAAACCTTACAGTATAAAACCGAAGTCATAAAAAAGGACCGACGTTTTTTACTGCAGAAAGAGTGGCCAGAAATAGAACTAGACACTGGCAGAATACAGAAGCAATCGCTAAAAAAGTTCAGAACAAGATAGAAGAAGAACAAGCCGATGTGAAAATAACACATGGAACGGAAAGGCGGCAAAAAAAGTGTCAATATTAGAGGTAGTTCTTGATTGTCTCAAGATAGTAAATGTTTTAATATAAAATTTTCCTTTTCTATGCGATTTGATAGTTTTTCACTCACGTTAATGGTAAAAGGCACAACCTCACGTAGGCCTCTGGTAAAGCTCCAAAACCGAGGCTTTCGTCTCGGGGTGCTAAATCGTCTCCAGCTAATACGGCAATTACCAGCTCCTTCTTTTCATCGTGGTACCAAACTTGAATTTGTATTCTTCCAGACACAGTCCGTTCCTTGGCGAGTTGTTCCTGCAAGATATTACTTATTTCTTCAATGAAATAACTAATAGCACAATTATTTTTTATTTTCTGGATTATTAAATGGGATGCACGAGTGGCGCTTTCCTTATCGCTTATACAATTAGATATACAACTTATGAATAGTTCGCGTTTTTATTATTTAATCCTGCAGATTTTTCGATAGAGGAAAAAACATTCTAATTTTCGTTCCTAATAATTTTTTTCCAGCTTAATTCTTTGGATATTATTTTAAGCGCGAGAAAGAAATGATCATTGTTACTAACAGCGCGCTATATTTTTCAACGACTCCGTGTGTTACCGTTTTGCTTGAAACTGAAAGGTGGTCGGTCCATTTGAAACTGCTGCAAAAATGCGCAAAATGCTTGGATGTAAAAATGGGCTAATAATAAACCATAACAAAAACTAATAAATTCAATTTTGAATATGCCACGAAGACTAAAAGCTATTAGAGCCGCTGTCGGCACAAATGCGAAATATTTACTCTTCCTTTCCTGTGCTGTTCCTATGTTGGGTTTTTTTATTTTTTAATTCTATTAAAAAGCAAAATGTTTAAGACACTGGGTAATTGGTAAATATGATGTAATTGCACAAATTTTCAAAATAAAACAATGATGTAATAAAGCTGAAATTATTCAATAATTAGATACCGAGATGTGGATATTTTTGTCAGTATATTTTTCAGTTTTTTGTGTCAATATTGTTGTAAAAATGTACCAATCCCCGTTTCATTCTTAATGTGGTAAAATCTAGTTCAAAATCTAAAACATCAATAATTTCTAGACAAATGTAGTATTTTTGTTTCACATCTAAGTTTTTGTATGCGTAACTCAGCTATAGATAATTCTGAAGAAAGAAAAACTATATCGATTTCGGTTTACTTCTGTACAGAATGTGATGCCGCAAAATCCTCCTGCTCGTTTAAGTTTTTCCCATTTCCACAAGAAAAACAAACCATCTATAATACATTTTAGTGAAATGGGCCATTTGAACTTCCTCCCAAATTAAATAGCCAATTATGTTCTATCAACTAAACTTGGCCGAGTTGCTTGAAGATGTTTCACGGTATTTAAGGATAAAATTGTGGTTTGTGCAAGATGGAGCTCCACCACATTTTTGTTGTATTGGCCGTGGGAGCGTTATTGCTTGGCCAGCCAAAAGTCCGGACTTCAATTCTTTGAATTTTTCAATTTAGTCTCAATTGAAAGATAGAGGTTACAAGGAAACGATTGGTTTGCATGAAGAATTGCGGCAAATAATATACTTTGAACAGTGACTATAAGGAATTATTACGAATTTTACATGTTTTAGTATTGAAAATTCTTGATTTGTTAGATTATTAGTTTCGCGTATTATGAAAACATAACGTTCGTTGAATGCATTTATCTCGAGAACGGGTCGGAATTTCGATACGAAAGAAGATTAGTTAATTTATGGAGAAATTGTTGCTCTTTAAGATTTTTTAACTGGATGTGATGTTACACTTACAGGGTGGGTATTTATTACTTTAAATATCGGCAATATTGGTCGCAAGTAGCGCCGTCTATGAGCACCGCGGAAATTGTGCCACGCATTATTTTCGTCATAAAAAACCTACTTATAATCACAAAATTTCAAATTCCTAGCCCAGATATTTTCAGCAAAATGGCAATAAAACGAATTAAAATTACAACTTTTATCACCCCGTACTAAAGGGTCACAATTTGACGTGTAGTATCTGCATCTTTCGCATTTCCCATTCTTAATAAATCGCCCTGTATTGCAACCACTGCTCACTCTATACTAAACTTAAATCCCTCTCATTATCCCTTTGGGATGAATAAGCATCATTTCATTTAACTAGAGTCCAATAAAAAATGTTAATGCAACTTAATTAGCAATATGAGGAAATAACTCTTCCTAGTAAGTCACGATTAGTAGAGTCCATGCAAAGTGTATTGATTGCTCGAAAATAAGATAAAGAGAAACTCGGAAAAACCCGCCTACAATTAATGCAAACCTCAAGTGTAATAAACAAAAAAATATATGCGACACATGCGGCAACCAAATTTAAAAGCACTCAAATCCAGCCACATTAAATCCGACCAATGGAATGTGGGCTGTAGCCTATGGAAAAAACTGCTTTTTACTGCCCCAATAAGTTTCAACGATGGCAAATCCAGTCTTCATTGAGTTCTTACGTTGATTACAGCAATCAGTTGTCCATAGATCTTGGAATCGTTTGCTTATCCTCAGCTGTTTAGAATCTTAAAATATTGAATAGCCAATATAATTATTGCACTAAAGTAATCACTAAAAACTAATTAAAAGCATTAAAGACAAGCACAAAGCAACAAGACAAGAGATAGCAGTGACAATAGCATATCAAACGTGCCAGTTGGGACAGACAATAGCGGGTTTTCAAATGGAAACATGGTCACCCACTTAAAAAATGTTGAACGTTTGAAACGAATGCAAATGTTTATCCAAAAGAAAATTAGATGTTTATAACAAAACATGTTTTGAGTGTGTGACCACTTGAAAACAAAATTTCGCGTACCTATTAGTGTGTCTCGGGCAGCTCCATCTTTTGAGGGCCACGTAAAGGATTGTTAAAAGAAACAATGTATATTGGTTAAAATGCTTTTAATATGGTATAGTTACTACGCACACATTTAATATATATATCTTGTTTTGAGACAATACTGTCCCAGCTGACACATACTATTTCTTCACTTAATTTAATTTTTAACACCTGATGGTACTTGTTTCAATCCTATTCTAGCTAATACTTGAAAACGAACCGAAGTGTTTTTCTGAATTGAAAATCCTTAGAAAAGTTGTTAGGCAAAACATAAACAAAGGCGAAACAAGACCATGTCAGGCCGTGGTTAAACTACTTGACATTTTCTAATGTTCATATCTATTTTACAGCTATTAACATGTACACACTATTTATTCCTAGTGAAATAAAAGTTTTCATTATTACCTACTAAAAATAAGACTCGATTCTCGAGAAGATATTGTCCTTGTTCATATAAAAACTAAGATAATCAGTTTATATAGTTATTGAAAAAATTAGCTAGATTTGCGATCATAGTATGTATTTAAACACAACTTTCCGGCATTTCGTATGTGAAAGTTCTCATACGCCTCGAGATGCTAACTCACAGAGCGCGAAGTCTTTGATTTTTATAACTCTTTACCTACAGAAAATTATTTGGTCTACTGTTTAAGTCGCAGGTGAAATATATAAAATTCAATAATTTAATGAAGAGTGTACCATTTCAAATCACCGATAGTTTAAAGGGTAGATACTGATTAGTGAGACCATGGGTTTCTGTGAAAATCGCTGGGATTGCATGGATGAATCAATGTAATTTCATGGATTTCTATGGGTCATTCTTAATCTGTGGACTTTGTTTGAAAGTAGAAAACGTATTGCAGGCTTCGCAACGGAAAGATTAACTCTAAATGGATGCACGTTTCAAACAAAGACAAGTCAAAATATGCTCAGTCTTGTACAGGATCGGGGCTCAATTTTGCATAAATTATTTTTTATTAAGTTGGTAGAATTGTAGTTCAACGAGTAGTGTACAGTGTACGTTGTCTAAAACAGATAATTAACAGAAGCACAAAACCCCAAAATATAATTTTTGAAAGAAAAAGTAAAAATAATCTAGTTTTAGATAAGTTATAAATGTTCGAAGAGGATTAATATTTTCAAGAAATATTTCTTGGGTATTTTTTCTCAAAATGTTTCTTTTAGAAGAACAGAATTTCCCCACGCCTTCTATTACATATTGTTAAAGCGTGCTCTTATTTCACAATAAGGAATTGTTTATCAGAAGGGAATCAAGAGCTACCACCTAGACCTAGACACACTTGGCTCAAGCCGTAAGATAAAAAATAAGTAATAATAAAAAATTAAAGTTAGGAAATGATCTTGTTTTAAAAGACAAAAATTTTGTGGCAAAAGTCCAAGGTTTTGCGAAAAAAAATTATCTGACAAGACGTTGGAAAAAAACACCAATATCTATTGAAATCAGTTGAGTTTGTGAACATTTTCGAAACAAATGTCATATAGATATTTAGTCGTAGTAAAACAAATGTTTTGGGCTAAATTATAAGCAAGCACTTTTATGGCAGCTGTTTTTCAAACGTTCTTAGCACCTGGGCTTAACTTGTGATAACAAGTGATATTATTATTAAGAAATTGCATTAAATTTTCAGTTCGTCTTGTTATTCGTTTGTAAACATCCCTTTTGCATCCTTTGCTATTGACTTTTTTCCATCTTGGCATATTTGAATTTTAGTCTCCATTGATTATCTTTTGGATGGCGTTATTTAGTTCACTTTCAGGTCGTTGTCTGCTCCCAAAAAGTCCCATTTATGGTGTTATGTATCTTTCCAAATGGAAGGTGTTCTGCTAATGTTCCAATTTAATCTGTTAGTTAATTATTACTTGTCTGAGAAGGATTCTTCGTTGAGTCCTGATGATTTTGTGTCAGTCGCTTCTGCACAATTTCCTTTTATTTTTCCTTTTATAATTGAAATTATCCCGGTACCATAATTTATTTACCGTCTAGATTCTAGCTTATTTCTTTTGCCATAATTCGCTCCAGGATCTTCCTCAGCAGCCGTAGAAAAGAAACGCTCTTCTGCACGAATATCCTTGTGCAGCATTCTGATTTTTGGATTTTTCCATGCCATTCCCGATTTTTAGTTACACTATTGTTTTCTTCTACAGGTTCTTTTGATTCACTTCTGTATTTATTTGCATTTTTCTACATATTTTGGCTTCGGATTTCCCGGGTTTGATAAATTTCTAAGTAATTTTTTGCCATTCTTCCTGGCTTCTTTTTTCTGAAAAAACTGGGGGTCTGCTGCTTCAGAGCGGAAATTGGGGCATTGCATGCAAATTACCATCACTAGACTTATAGGCTAGACTTCTTGCAAAAAATAGTTTTTTTACAAATAAAGACTTTATTTATTTATTTATTTAATTTACATTATATTTATTTTTATTTACCTTTTTTTACCCGAGTTTTCTTTATTTTTAATGGGTGGAATTATATCAAGCATACTGAAAATGCTATTCACAAAGTCTGGCCTAATAACGAATATTCTCTATATTGCGCTTTTTTGCACAATTTTTTTCAAATTAGCTTGTAAAATGCATTAATTGTAATTGTAACAACAATATTTTTTTTCCTTTCCTGCAATATATTTTCGTCTTTCAAAGCTCCTGTTCATTAATTTTTTTCAAAATGCAGAGCACTATCTATTAATTTTAGGCTTCAAATTGTTGATTCCATCGCAAACCCATTTTATTGACATTAATTAAACCTTGTTATTTCTCAATATGAATGGACGGTATATCAAACCGGTCCCGTGTGAAAATATTCTACATAATACACACTTGCAGTAGTGAATATAAATTTAGAACATACGAGTGGAAACCATTGTATTAATTATGTAAAAATTATCAAAAATAATTAGGAAAATTATTTTTTTGCCATTGCCATTTGCCAAGCAGTAGTCTGACAATAAAGTCTTGCTTACATATCTACTAGTCTCATAGAAGAAGTAATTTGAATACTTGTAAACAAGATTTAACAATATGTACAGGTTGTCATCAAAGGCCATAATTGAGAATGTAGCTAGAAAAGATTTAAAACAGTTAAACAAGAATTATTAAATTTAATTCGATGAGAGCAGAAAGTTAATATTTTCCGCTACTAGATAGAAAAATACAATTCAAAGTTTGATGAGTTTTTGATATGTTCTATTAGATAGAGTTTGTTATATATTATTAAAAAAAATTGTTGTATCAAAAAACAAGTTGTATCAATATACCTACAGACTTTAATGCATGTAAGATTTGTTGCAAATGGATTCGAAACTCACTTGTGCTCAGTTAAAATCAAATCATTAACGTGTGGCACCTTGTACGTAAGATATTCCACTATCCAACTTCTTTCTAAGCGTTTTCAGATGATTTTCAAGCGCGATTAGATTTAAATTCAAAACCGATTTTCAATAGAAAGTTGGGGTTTTTAGGAGGCCGGCCGTGTTAGCTAAACCTACTTTTCAAATCCCTGTCTGGTTTCGTTTGGCAGAAAATGTATTCCCAAAAAAATTCTAATCAACTTAGTGTACACGATAATTAGGAGAAACATTTTTAAGACTCACTGGCTCGGTAAGAGGCTTTTGATCTTGGCTCTTACTTATCATATTACTGGGCGAAAAAATATGGGATTTTGGTTGTTCGGCTTTTGTTCTTGCTTGACTATCACAAATTTACCAATTTACGAACGGAAAACGGTCCACAAACTCGAGTTTTGCGGCCGTTACTATAACTGTAGCCGTAAATGTAAATTACAGCCCGCAAAATCCCATTTCCCATCCGTTAGTATAGCAGGGGCCGTAAAAGTAAGTGTCACTTGAACATACTTTATTACATCGAATTTTATATTCAGCATTAAAAGCCAAACCAAAGTATTAAATTGTCAACTTAAATCACACCGGTTCTACGATAAATACTTCTATTTATCTCGCCCGCGAAAAACTTACGTACTTTACTGGACTCAAAGGCCATTTCTCTCTTGGGATATTAAAGCGTGTTTTTGCGGCTCTCATACATAAATAAATAGTTTTTAATAATTTCAGTTAAACCGCTAAAACAGTTTCAGTCCAGTTCATAGATCAAGGAAGTAAAGTCTTAATAAAGCTCAAAATTGATTGTCCATTTCAATTGATTGAAGATTAATTAATAACTTTCCGGGGATGAGTTTTATACGCTCTAAAGACCCTAAGTGTAACTTATGTAGCCACACTTTTAATGAGACTTAGAAGCTAGAAGCAACTTGTCTCCAGTCATTCACATGCTATGGATATTTTTTTCTATTAAATCAAATTTAGGAAAATGCTATAATAAAAATTAAGTTGTAGATATGTTCCTTCACATATTTCTACAAATTCTGTCTTAATTTACATGTGAAATCTACTAAAACTGAACGGAAATTAGCAATAAGTACTAAGAGAAAACTTCATTCAGTTCAATTAGATGTGAATGATGCAACAAATAGTTAGAAGGGCTTAATATTTAACCATTTACTTGACTACAGGAAACGAGTATTTTTATACCGGTGTTTTTGGAAGTTTTCTTCTGGTCGGAGATGATGGCGCTTTGTCATTGTCGGAGTCTGAAATTAGAAAAGAATTAGTTAAAAACAGCTATTAGTAGACAATAAATCATCTTTATTTCTTGCAAAGAAGGCTATCGGTATGATATGGGTTCAGGCTATAAAGTGGCAAAGGAATCTATTAATCTAAGCGCATCTTTCTAGTAAAGTTGCTCTCTTATAAAACAACGGGAATCTATAATCGTTCAGCTGTAGAGGTTTTTTGGCCATTTTAATTGTACCTATCAGTATTTCTGATATTTTTGGTATATTTATAGGTTTGTGTATTGGTGTGCAATGCGCGGTGTTGCTCACCAAAAATTTAGTGTTATCTATAGAAATGCATATTTCTAGACTTTAGAAAGCCTCAATGTTTATTTATTTAAATTAGAGTCTTTAATCGTATTAATACAGATGAAAGTCAATAATTGTTATTGTTTCATTCGAGACTTTATCTCACGAGAGAACTAACCAAGGGCGGATCGACGGGGGTGATGAACCCCCTCCTTGTGCTATTATCTACTAACGATAATTGTTCTAATTTCATAGACATCAAAAGACTAAATTTGTATTGTAAATTGAGTAGATTCCAGGAAACATACGTTTCCGCGTATCATATACCTTCCTTAGTTAATCTTGTAGAAAGATTATAAAATTGAATCAGAAATAATTCGAAATTTGCACATAAACAGTACAACGAAATTTCGCATGATTTATGAGGTAAGAGTAACTGCTTCACTAGCCTTTAATGAAGTCTCGTCTTGCCGAGAGCATGGAACATAAAAACTAAGCCTGGGCAAAGCAACTCTAGTTGGTCGTAAAACGTAGAGTTTAACGTAATGGCTCGGTATTAGTAGAGAAGCGAAATACATTGGAGGAAATCAAAGACAACTTCAGACTATTAGACAGAATATTTCCTTCGTATGATAATCTGTCCGTTTGAAGTGTGCAATTATCGAAAAATT